TTGTGCTGAATTGCTGGGACAGGAGCTGGGGTTTTATAAGAGGCTTGAGCAAGGAGGCAGAGGTTAATGAAAAAGCCACTAGGTCAAGGGAGGTGGGGCCTTTCACACATCCCACAATGGGATGTTTATAGCCGGGCTTATGTGGATTGCCCTGACTGCACGTCATCAAGTTCACACATACCTGGGATTTTGCCTGGTATCTTCTGTATGGGCCTGGGACAATGGGGGGGGGGGGGGAGAGGAGTCAATCCTCCAAAAAGAATGGTGTGTGAGACAATTAAGAAATGAGATTATTGTGCCACACAAACAGGTTGCTAGAGTACAGTTGACCCTTGGGTTTCTAGTCTATGGGCAATGGATGTACTGTCCTTCACACAGAACTGAGAACAATGGAGAAAAATCTAATTTAGAGGCACCTAAACATTATATGAACTAGTAAAACATGACCTGGTTAAGCCATTGCCTAATACTGTATTACATGATCTTTTTCTTTTTAAGAAATATTCTAGTGCTACATGCTAAACACACACATGTAACAAAATAGTTACCGAAAGTAACTGTTAGAATCTCCCCTGGGAGGTTCTGAAGTGGCTCTGTTCAGAAATGAACAGAGAAATTCACCTAAGAATAATAGAAAAGTAATGGTTTAGAGAGTATCACGAAAGACAGGTTAAAGGAGATAGACAGAGAGAGAGGGAGAGACAGTTTGTGTCAGGTGATATGAAATAGATTGGGACTACAGAGAAAGTAGGCAGGTCATGTATCAACAGGTAACTTTTTTGGAAGACTTAGATCTCTCTGTATCAAAGGAGAATGTGTATCAACAGAAAAGAAAAAAAAACATAACTTACTAACTAGAATATACAAGATAATATAGTATATTATTTCACATAGGTGCCTTGCTTAATTCCCAACTACTTTTTGGAGAGTAATTTTATTATTGTCCCTGTGAGAAAAAACCTGAGATAATTCAGGGAAGGAAAACATTTACTTTGCTCAGTGCTTTAGAGGTTTCAGTCAGTAGTTGTGTAGATTCATTGCTGTGGGCTGTACTGAGACTGAATATCATGGTGGGGAGCAAATGGTGGAGTAAAGCTGCCTATTTCTATCATTAATAGGACAGTGCCAGGGGTAAAATACACTATTCAGAGACATGACTCTGCAACCTGTTTCTTCCATCCAGACCCCACCCTTTCCAGTAGCCAATTCACTTGAATAATCCACTGAACTCAGTTATTAAATAAATCCATTGCTGAGAACTAATCCATTGATGAGGTTCACATTCAATGATCTCTCCATAGTGCAACCCACTGGGAATCAACTTTCAACACATGAGACTTTTGTGGGGACACTTCATATCCAAACCGTAATACTCCTTTTTGCCTAATACTGTAGAAATTCTGAAAGAGTTTTATCTTAACCAAAGTTACCCATCTAGTAAATGGTATGATCAAGGCTTGAACCCTTGTCTCATGATGCCACACTTGATGCTATTTTCACATCCTCCAGCCTTTATACTCCAGCACTTTGAAGACAGAACCCTGCGTGACACCAACAGTAAGAGAATGACTCAGAAAGATTCTCTGGGTGGCTAGAGGATGTGAGACAGGCAGTAGAAGATTCAAGAGGTGATAGATTCCCAAAAGTCATATGAATATAGCCACCTAGGAGGCCTTAGCAGGGCAGTTTTAGAACACAATAAAAGGCAGAGTCATATAGACTGAAGCACAAAGGGAAGGTACAAACATGAACCAAGGTGTATAGTACTTTGAGGTAAGAATCTGATGAATGTAGAAAGAATTCAGAAAGAAGAGGCAGCTCTGTGTGTGTGAGTGTGTGTGTGTGTGTGTGTGTGTGTGTGTGTGTGTGTGTGTGTGTGTGTGTGTGTGTGAAGGAAGTTATTCATGGCACTCTAGGACATACTGGGCCATCCACGTTTATTAAAAGCAGTATATTGAACTGTTAGTAATCCAAGCACTTTGACCTCAAGAGTAGCATCCATAGTGCCCATTGAATCATCTCTCTGGAAAGTAACCATAACAATAATAAAGGCAGATCTTTTTGGAAGTATTTTAAACGGTAACTCATCTATTATCAGCTCAATAGTCTATCTCCTGTAGCAAGAGGTCTTTGAAAATCATATGAAGTAATCTTTAAAGGAATATCCACTTGATTATTTTTCACACAGACATCTTACACATTAATATGAGGCAATATGGTATTTATGATTATAGTTAGAAAATGACAATATAAATTAGTGCTTATCTAAAATGTTCTAAATCAGGTTCTGTGTTGTTAGTTTCCGCTGTCTTGTAATTTTGGGTTGTGTTTTCTGTCCTGTTTTTTTGATCTCTGCTCTTAATTGTGTTTTGAGGTCATAAAAGGGCTAGAAAAGTCTCTAAAAGCCCATTACTTACTGGCAGGTGTGGATTTTTGACAGATTCATGTACTCCTTCAGGCTTTTTACATCCCAACAGTAGCAGAAACTTAATTTTGGGATTAGGGCGATATCTAAACGTCTATCAGAAACAAAATTATAAATGTCATTTAAAATTTTCTGATGGGCAGTATGGCTCAATAGCTATGTACATATGACCATATAAGATGATGCTAAGCGAAACAAACTTTAGAATACACAAACAAGAGGTTTTTTCTTGTTGTTGTTGTTGTTTTTAATGTACTATGTGATTTCTTTTTTCTGTTGTGGGTTTTTTTCTCCCTCTCCTGTTGTCACTGTATTTGATTTTGGTACCCTCTGTATTGTATATAAGTTAATTTGAATTAGGGAAGGGAAGAGTAACAACAACATGATGAGACAAAGGACAAAGGGAGAATCAATGTAACAGCGAAACTCACAAGATTAGGTGTTGGAAATGAACTTTACAGCTTTACAACTAGGGGGAGGGAAAGCGGGAGAAAAATGAGGGAGGGGATAACAAGTTTGACAAGAAATGTACTCACTACTTTGCATATGTAACTGTAACTCCTCTGTACATCATTGTGACAATAAAACTAAGTTGTTTGTTTTTTTTTAAATGCTGCTTCTAGGAAGTGGCGCTGTGGCTGAAGTGGTAGAGTGCTCACCTTGAGCTGAAGAGCTGAGGGACAGCGCCCAGCCCAGAGATCAAGCCCTACAACCGACAAAAATTTTAAAAAATGCTAGTTCTAATAGTGTATCAGATAGGTAAACCAAGCTTAATGCAAAGAGTTGTATTCTTTTATAATATAAATTTTATATATTATATTTTATTAGACATATTATACATATAATATATGTATTATATATACACATTATATATATACATAATACACATGTATATATACATATATACAGTATACATAATGTACATACACATATTCATTTTATTAGACATAGTATACATATTATACATATATGTTTATATATTTTATTATATCTTATATATTTTATATATAAAGACAATGCATCTTGTTCAATGTCATCCCTATCAGCATTCTTCCCCATTCCTCTCAACCTGTCCCTTTCCTCAATTTTCTTAATTTTGTAGGATATGCTTTGAATTTAATGATTGCAGGGTCCCATCTTTCATTCTGCATTTTTCTACCCCCTTACCCTTGGCCCTACATCCCGAGCCATTTCCTGGCGTGTTTTTTTTTTTTTCTTTTGGTTTTTGTTTTTGTGGACTGTGAGTTTTTCTATGCCATTATACTTAAATCTACCATATTTCAGTTGATACATTTGTGTTTACTTGAATACCACCCCCCAAATATTGACTTATATATTTGTAAATTAATTCTAGCTTTCTTGTATGAGAGAGAACATGCATTCTTTGTCTTCCTGGAATACTTAATATGATTTTTTCCAAATCCTTCCATTTCTCTGCAGATGATGCAATATAATTCTTTTCTAATGGATGACTAACATTGTATTGTGTATATCTACAACATTTTCTTGATCCATTTGTCTATTGAAGGGCATACGGGCTAATTCTATACCTTGGCTCTGGTGAATAATGCTGTAATACATATGATTATGCTGATGTCTTTACTGTAATGTTTTGAATAAATTTCCCATGAGTGGAATTGCTAGATTATCGGCTAGTTCTATGCTTTGCTTTTTGAGGGACCTCCATACTTTCTAGAGAGGTTGAAAAAGTACATATCCACCAACACTGTATCAGAGTTCCTTTTTGCCCATATCTATGCCAGCATTTGTTATTGTTTGTGATCTTAATAATGGCTATTCTAAGTAGGGTGAGATGGAATCTTAGTGTTGTTTTGATTTTTATTTCTCTTAATGCCAGATATGTTGAGCATTTCTTCATGTGTTTGTTAGCCATTTTTACTTCTTCTGAAAATTCCCTAGTTAGCTCGTTTTTCTCATTATTAATTGGGTTGTCTATTCTTTAAAGGTTTATTTTTTTTTTTAGCTCTCTGTATATTATGACCTTTTGGTCATTGTCTGATATATAGCTGGCAAAAATCTTCTAAGACAAGCTGGGCGCCAGTGTCTCACACCTGTAATCCTAGCTACTTTGAAGGCTGAGATCTGAGTATTCCTGTTCCAAGCCAGCTCAGGCAGGAAAGTCCATGAGACTTATTTCCAATAAACTACTCAAAAAACGGAAGTGGCACTGTGGCTCAAGTGTTAGATACTTGCCTTGAGCATGAGAGGCACAGAATGAATATAACAGTACATGACTCATACAATCACTCATGGACTGCTTCAATTACTGCTTTTATTTTTGTTACTGGATTATAGTCTTGATCTTGTACTTACAGAAAATTCCATACCTTTAAAATGCATATTTATAATGTTTATTTCAGCCAGGATTTGGCTAAGTGTATAAATTATAATTTTATTTATAAGTATATAAAAGTAAAATGATAGCAGATTTTCCCTTTAAGAATGTATTTCCTGTTCATGTTCATTTTTCTTAGTCAATGACATTTAATTATAAGCAATAAAGTGGCTATAGCTGACATGATTGCCTTCATATATTCTACATTATTTCTTACAGTTATTGCCAGTTTTCGCGGAACTGTCCCATATGGCCTGTCACTGGAAATTGGAGATACAGTTCAAATCCTGGAGAAGTGTGATGGTGAGTAATCTAGTATTGATTTCTTGAGGTTATGTGAATAAACTTAACATGAGCCATTTTATAAAGTTTACAAATTCTGTCCTTCTCTCCATTAATTTCAGAACTTTCCCAGTATTCAAAGCAAACCATTGTTTGGCTAAGTATCATTCATTCTTTCTTTTTTTATTTCTCTTTTCCTTCCTTCCTTCCTTCCTTCCTTCCTTCCTTCCTTCCTTCCTTCCTTCCTTCCTTCCTTCCTTCCTTCCTTCCTTCCTTCCTTCCTTCCTTCCTTCCTTCTTTCTTTCCTTCCTTTCTTGCTTTCCTTTCTTTTGTTGGTGGGGCTTGAAGTCTGGGTCTGGGTGCTGTCCCTCAGATCTTCAACTCAAGGCTAGCACTCTACCACTTGAGCCACAGCACCACTTCCATTTATGTGGTACTGAGGAATCAAACCCAGGGCCTCATGCATGCGAGGCAGGCACTCTACCACTGAGCCACCTTCCCAGCTCATAAACATGTTGCTTTCACATACAGTATTGGCTTATGGAAAAGCAACATGTGGTTTTTTTAAGCTAACGTTTTTCTAGTAGTATTTGCTCACTGTCACCATAAGACAATTTGGACGCCAATTGAAGATATTGTATTTGTGAGAGTTCATGACTTTTTGCCAAACTAGAAGACTTTTCTTATATTCTCAAACATCTATCAGATGCTAGACATAGGAAAAATCAGAGATCCAGCTCAGACTTTTGTGCGTGAAATTGGCCAACCCCATATCTCAAGGAGGGTTCTTTGCTTAAACCAGTTCCTCCCCTAGTCTGAGAAAAAAAATAATTTGCACTAAAATATTCAATGAATATGTAATGTTAGTAGAAACTATTATGTGACCCTGTGTGTGATTATCACTGACTTATGTATCAAGTAATTCATTAATGATACTAAAGATATTCTCAGATGTTTTCATTTCTCTGCTGTGAAACATACTTAGATTCTAGCAAAGAGATCCCAAATGAAATGACTACCTTTATTTTCTGTTAACAAATAACCATATTTTAGAGTGTAATGATTGCATCCAAAATTATCCATTTTCCTCCTAGAAGGCTTTCCTTACTAAGAATTTATACTGTGGTAATGTTTGTATTATAAATCCATACATTGAGTTATGTTTCCCTAAGAGAACTCCTTCCTTTAGGTAGTCTAGCATTAAGTGTTGGTAAGATGTGCATATTTATTCTATATACTGTCATTGAGATATCTAAAACTATAGTATGAGTTTCTATGTTGTTACCTGATGCATTTTGTTAATTGCTGCTTTGTATTCAGATAAATATAATATGTATTTTAAGCTTACATGCCAGAATGGACTGCATATCTAATGGGAAGTGTTTAATAATTGAAAATCTTTCTTATATGATGTGACATTTGTGCAGTTATCTAAAGATTTTGATTTGTGTTAGACTAAATATTTACAAATGGATGCATTTCTTGGATATGTCCTTATAAGTATCTATTAAACCTTGAGATAGAGATTCTGATTTTCAATTAAGTTTGCTTTCTTCAGGCTGATATAAAAACTGTTTGAGGTACTGTTTTTTAGGATTGTACGTCCTTTTAAGAAAAGTATTATGAGGAATGAAAACACAAAATCAAAGTTCAATTATTTGGCTTGAAAAACCCAATTAATCAGAATTGCAATTTGACAAAACATTTATTTCATAGCAATGTAATTTCTCACCAATAAGAAATGTGGTGTCTACAGTTTTAAAAATATAATCTAAGTATAATATTTTAAATGGGACCATGTATTAATAATGTATAGTATTATGTGTGTCTCACTTTGTTTAAATGATATAACAATGTATTTTTCTTAATGAGCCAACTTCCCAGCATTAATTATAGTACTATAAAATCAATTCAGAGTTGTTCTGAGCTAACTAGTAGGCATTCTCAAAAATAAATCTTATGATGGGCTCAGGTGATCAGACTTAGTGCAGATGAAGGTGCACTAGATAATTTTGTTAGTAACAGCGCCTCACTTACTCTTCTTATGATATAAGATTGGTTCTCATGCAAAGTAGTGGGCTTAAGAATGTTAAATTCACTCCATGACTACTGGTTAGATATTATTAGGTAGTAAAGTCTGTGCTTTCTACTTAGAAAAAATTGGGAATACATTAAATCTTTTAACCCGATTCCAACAGCTGCCAAATTTATTCATAGAATATTTACATATAGGGTAAAATTCTATCCGCAAAGAACTGATTAATTTGTTATTTTTAGTGTTTACAATATTTTATTAAACTATGGTCATGCTTATTTCTTTACAGGCTGGTACAGAGGATTTGCCTTAAAAAACCCCAATGTCAAGGTAAAAACAACTATTTCTAACAGTAATTAAAGGATTTTACTAAAAGATCAATATTTAAATTGAATTACTATACAATTAAAATTACAGTTGGGACTCATTTGATATGAAAAATGCTAATACAAATTTTCATAATTTTGGAAATTCCTTTGAACTTGGATTATACTTAAGATATGCTCCTCAAATGATCATCTTTTTATAGCTCTTGAAAATTGTGCTAAGACTTTAATAAGCTCATTATATATAAACAAAATCTTTTTGAAGTGCTAGTTTCATAGAAAACTAAATTAAAATTCAGACAAGGGAAATATATATTCCAAAAGAAATGCTGCATAGAGGTGTTTAATTTTCATTTTTTTGTGTTATCATTTGTAAAATATGAAATGAGTTTTTTGTACTGGCACATTGCCAGTTCAAAAACTGAGAAAACCGGATTATAAAATTGCTTATCTGTCTTACTATTCCAGACAGATACTAAGATTCATTATCCTTTCTGTATTTATACAATCCCTCCAGAATTACAGTAAGAAGTAATATGCTTTTGTTTTATCATTCATTGAGACAGTTTGTGATCTTGACACTAATCCTACCTTGTTCTCATCTTCCCAGCTTTCATCCGTCCTTTCCACAATCTCTAGTAACTGACATAAGTTTTTATTTTATCTTTACTTAAATTATAGATAACAAATTATATCATTTCTCATTCTGAAATACAATGACGATATATAAATTTTTGCATAGCTTTTTGCTTAAATAGAGCATTTGCTGGATCATGTAAATGTGTTTAATTACTTCATTTCATTACTTTAGATCAGTCTAAAGCCTGAGGGGCAAAAGAGTATATAAATTTAAATTTTAATACGTTATTCCTCATTTAAAGTTTTTTTTTGGACATCTACAAGGCACATGCACATATCACTTTAGTATTTCATTATTCATCCGGGGCATGTTTGGGAAAATTATTGTGATATCTCCATTATTTTAGTCATATCTAGCAAACCTCCAATAGTAATTTATTAATTATAATTATAGTATTTGTTAAACTTATTTTATTAAGGTTAAGTTAAATTTTGCAGAGGAAATAATGTTTAAAAAGGTCTATTTACCTATTCCCTTCTGTTGAGTATAAAGAATTTGCTTTTTAAATTTTATTTTATACACAGTTCCACAGTGGTGATAACATACATACAAATAACATTTGTTTTCATAAATATTTAATGGAGTTTGTCATTTGATACTACATCAGAAATTCTTCAGAAGATATGGGCATTTAATGGATGATAAATTGGTTGTTCATTTTTTTTGTTGTTCTTTCTTCGATTTCCCATTTTGAACAAAGGAACAATTTCCTTGCAGTTTCCTTACTTGAAAAGGTTTAAGCTTGCATGGCTTCTTTTGTTTAGTTTTTCTTCCATCAGAATGGCAGTCTAGTGATTAATTGCTGCTGTTTTGTCATCAAAGATCTTCCCAGAATGTATCATACAGATATTGTCTCCAAATTAGCAGTAAGGTTTTTAATGTATATTTTAAAATAGAATCATGAGTGTTTGAAGGAGAAGAAAATGAATAAAAACAACCAAAAGAGAAACCAAGGAAACATTATAGCTACAATATATTAAAAAAATCTTACTATGATGTAATTGTTATGTAGAATGCAGATTTTTATTTTCTGATTTATTAAGAACATATTTGTTGAGTGAGATTTAAATTTTTCAGTTATACTTACTTTGGATAATCTCTAGATTTGTGAAGAATTTCATAGTAGAAAACAAAGGATGAATCTAAGCCACAATAAATTTTAATCTGTAGAAAGTGGAGATGTTTTCCACTGTTTCTTTATTTGTGTATGAACTGTGTGTTACACACACTATTTATAAGCCCACCTGCCTTAAGACACAGTTAGAACATAATCTTTGTGTTTTTTTTTTTCTTTTTTCCTTCCAGGGTATATTTCCTTCCAGCTATGTTCACTTGAAAAATGCCTGTGTGAAGAATAAAGGGTAAGAAATGAGTTTTATTAATAGTTGGAGGATTTTTAACAGAACTATTACTTATTTTGGAATTTGAAAAGCTTAGTAATTGTGTTGAAAAATGAACTGTAGAAGATAACACCATTGTCTGTGTTATTTATAAAGAAACACTGACTAATATAGTTGGGAGGGAATTAAGAAGCTGTCTGTGTGTTCTGAACTGCTGCAGAATATAAACCATTACTGTCTCTCATTGTCTACACATCATAGAACTAGCTTGATCTGAAACAGAAAAAGTTGGTTCTTTTTGAACTCCTGCCCTTTAGAGAAGCATACCAGGCAGACTCATAAGATGCTGCAGTGTTTTTTTTTTTTTTTGGGGGGGGGGGCAGTGTTTGTTTGTTTGCCAGTCCTGGGGCTTGAACTCAGGGCCTGGGTGCTGTCCATGAGCCTCTTTGTGTTCAAGGTTAGCACTCTACCACTTGAACCACAGTTTTGAACCACAGTTCCACTTCCAGCTTTTTTGGAGTGGTTTATTGGAGATAAGGGTCTCATGGACTTTCTTGCCTGGGCAAGATCTCAGATCTCAGCTTCCTTGAGTGGCTAGCAGGCCAGGCATGAGCCATCAGCACCAAAACCCAGAAATTTCCTCGATTCTCACTGATTTTAAGCCAAGTTTGTCTTCTTTAAATGAGCAGAATATCATGTCCTCCTATGACCATTTTAGAAGTGATAATTCTGCCTAAGAGAATATCATATCTGTGCTATGTAGTTGAATTTAGCTGGCTGATCACCTAGGATTTCCAGTCCATTAGCCAAATGGTTGGAAGCCGCTGTCAAGATAATACCCTTCAAGTAAAATATTGCAAGATAAAACAAAAGAACATTCTTATTGATACACTTAACATAAGCTGACAGATACTATAATTTCATAAAAACTCTTAGCCGGGCACTGGTGGCTCATGCCTGTAATCCTAGCTACTGAGGAGGCTGAGATCTGAGGATTGCGGTTCAAAGCCAGCCTGGGCAGAAAACTCTATGAGACTCTTATCTTCAATAAACCACTAGAAAACCAAAAGTGGAGCTGTAGCTCAAGTGTAGAGTGCTCGCCTTGAGCTGAAGAGCACAGGGACAGCGCCCATGTCCAGAGTTCAAGTCCCACGACTGACAGAAAAATAAATAAATAGATAGATAGATAGAGAGAGAGAGAGATAGATAGATAGATAGATAGATAGATAGATAGATAGATAGATAGATAGATAGATAGATAGATAGATCTCTTACCGGATGATTGTGTAACATTCATTTTATGGCTAAAAAATACAGGGTCAGCCACATAGAAACCATACTTTTCCTCAAAAACAATAAAAAGTAATTTTTATTTGAACTCTGAAAGTATAACAAATAATATCTACAAATTGGAGTTTTACCAAAAATGTTTAAAGGATGCTTTCAAATATAATTCTTACATGTGTATTAAATTTTAGTTGAACAAAAAACTTCTGCATTTGGATGAGAGTCTGTTGTGTGATTCATTTTATGAATGGAAGTTAAAATTATATGTGATTTACATGATCTTAAATGTGTCATTTATTTAGACAATATTAGTAATAGTACTAGTGACTTTTAAATAGTTGACTAAGTATAATTCTGTTACCTATATTTACCATAGCTTCTAGTTTTAATAAATGTTGTCCTTCAGAAATGCAGTGCAGCTATTGGCCATCAGAAGTGTAAGTAGAGTGTTGATTTTTTTTTAAGTTATCCCAGGGTAGTTGTAGCACCACTCAAGCCCCCTCTATTAAGTCAGAAACATTTCTGATCTTTCTATTCTAGAAGTGTGGATTTGGCAATTTGAAAACTCCAGGGACTACCAAATAGTGGTCACCTGGGCAAGCCCCTATAACTTCTCCTTTAAGTTCAACCCTTGCCTACTTCAAGTCTGTGAAATGTGCCACCCAACTACCCATTGTACACCCTAGCAGAGAATAGAGAGATGCTTATACCAGCAAAGATAGTGTTAGGTATAATTCTATATAGTTGAAGTCTACTCCTCAAAGTGAAGCGGAATGGGATATAATGTTAAACTAGTTGCTTCTGGTTTTGGTTTTGATTTTACTTTAATGTTGTTTTATTTATGTTTTTCTAATTTATTTTATGGACAAAGTACTGATGTGTACCTTGTCCCCTTCCATATGTCACAAGACAGTTTAAATGTTTGTAAAGAGATCTCAAAATCTGGTTACCTATATTAAAGATTTGCTCATGGGTTCTCTGCCTGCATAATGGGCATTGTACAGCAGAAGTGCTCAACTACAGAACAAACTTTTGTTGTCATGCGTTCAGATCCATTATTCTAGGGTTGTTATTGGAAGAGAACTTTGCTCTGAGAACATTTCAGGACATGTATTGCTAGGTGATTGTTTTCCCAGAGAGAAGATTCTGATTTTTTATTATGCGACCTGTCATAACAGGACTTGCAACCTGATATCCCAGTAGGATGAAATTCCTTTAGTTTTTCCTAGAATAACTGATCAAAATAGAATTTTAGGGAAGCCACTTATAAGAGACTATTTGAACATTGGTGTTAGTGTTTGTATAGTAAGTAATAACTGACTAGCCTAAAATGACAGTTTTGTACTTCCCACCATACATTTTGGACAACCCTTGTATAAACATATTGAATTATTTTATGGTCTTTCCTGGGTCTTTCAAGTAAGGTAAGACTGCTGGTATACTTAAATTATCATCTTCAAACCTTGAAGCCACTTATATATTATTTAATTTTTGGTGAGGTCACATCACTTTCTAAATAAGATAACTGGTTTTCCTAGAAATTCATTGTTCCCTCCTTGGCTTTGTATAGGATCATTTAAAAATTTCCATGGCAAATATTCATCATTTAAATTGCAACAGCACTATTAGAATAACTGGGATGGTAGAGTACCTCTTTTATCAAGCACAGCAGCCCTGAGTTCAAACTTACTATGTGCAAAAAGAAAAAGAACAGTTAATAGCAACAGTTACTTCAGAAACAAAATAAGTGTGATATCAGTGGAAAATGTCATATGTACACTGATGAATAGGTTCAATAGCTGTCACAGTTCAAATATTACTGTTGACTTTTTCTCCTAGGTGTAATCTTAGTTTTACATTTTTCCGCTGTGTTTAAGCTCTAGAAAGAAAGGGGGAAATATTCACAGGATGGTATTTTTAAAGTAGTTTGAAATGAGATAGACTTCCATTGGGGAAGGAACCTAGGCAAGATTTTCATTTCCATCCTTCCCTTAAGAAGATTTTCCAAAAGACAATTATACGCACTTTAGACATAACATCAAAAAGGAACTACAGAGCAGTTATTAGCCTCATGCTAAGAAGTAATTTCCCTTGATCACTGGAGACAACGTGGTTCAGTGCCTAATAGGCTGTTACCTTTTACATATTAGATGATGTCCTTGAGAAAATATATTAAAATAGAAAAAACAATCACCATCAAAACAGCTAGTAGCATTCATTAGAAATAAATTCATGATAATAGCCATGTAACTACTTCCTTCTTCACAAAGAGTGGGAAGGTGGCAGTAAGGATTTGGGGGAAAAAAAAAAAAAACATAGTGAAGATGAGACAAAGGAGAATAATTACATGCCAATACATAAAATGGCAAATTAAAGTGTCCTTCCCACCCCCATCTTTTTATGTTTCTTTTAAATGAAGATATATATATATATATATATATATATATATATATATATATATATATTCTCTAAGTATAATTTCTGGCTTTGAGAAAAGAAATGGTAATGCTGTATTATCCTAATCACAGGGAAAAAGGTTTTGAAATGAATATTTGATGTCTTAAGCGTCTACATACTATGCAGCATGATAACATTGCTAATAGTAGCAATTATTTTTTTCATCACTGTTCTAAATAATAAAAATGAAAGGTTACTGAGTGGAAGTACTCAGTGTGTCGGTGTTTTGCTTTTTCTAACACTGATTTAGTTGTATGTTCACAATCATTACATCCTTTTACTCCTTTGAATCCTGTGTTCATAGCACTTAGAAGGCAAAAGTCAAGTCATAGTTTATGTAGCCTGATGACCACATGCTATAGATGAAAACTTTTGGATGAAGAAAGTTAAGAGTTTCTATCTTGGAGTCAAACTGTCATCATTAGAGTGGAACTCCCTTGTAGTTCTATCTCTACTGCACTGCTCACACTTAATCTGGTCCTGTGCATGGGTACTGCCATCACCTATAGCATTTGTCACATTCACTGGAAGTCAGATCCTGGTTACTACCTGCAGGACCCACAATAACTGGATATCTTTCTTTCCTAGTATAGACCCACAATAACTGAATATCTTTCTTTCCTCGTATATCTTTTAGAGCTCTTGAATTGTTTATGGTAATTAGATATGTACATTTTCTTTTTTAATTTCACAGACAATTTGAAATGGTTATTCCCACTGAAGACTCTGTTATCACAGAAATGACATCAACGTTAAGAGACTGGGGAACCATGTGGAAACAACTTTATGTGGTAAGTAGCTTTTAATGGCATGATTTTCTGGCTAGAGAATCAGCGTAAGAAATAGCTGTGGAGTTACTGCTTCATTTTTTGGCAATACTGACTTTCAAACTCAAACCTTCATGCTTGAGGATGATGCTCTTACTATTTGAGCCAGGTTCCCAGCCCAAGAAATACGCAGAACAGGAGTCAACAGAAATTAATATTTGAGCTCCTGTAAGTCACTGGAACTCCTTGGGGAATCAAGGATATGGATCCTAACAAGACAGAGTTTTATGATAATCTCTACATCCACTAAGTGTGGGTTTCAAACATTGTTTTTCAGTACCACAGGAATACAAAATATTTTTTTCTGATACCTAACCAAACAAAACTCTTTAATGTGGATCTAGTGTTAGACTTTGGAATATTTTAATTTTCAAGGACAAATAAACTTTTTTTTTTCTTTCTCCTTTCTCCTCCTGGTAGTTATTGGGGTGTTAAATCCGTGCCTCACACTTACTAGGCCCACATTCTACCACTTGAGTCACATCCCAGACCTATTCACTTTTGTTAATTTTTTTGAATAGGATCTCAATTTTTATAGGGCTTTTCTGGACTATGCCTTTCCTATTGGCTCCTATCTTGCTGAATGTTTAAGTGGGTTTGCCTCAAACTTTGATCCTTCTGATTTTAGTCTTCTAAATAGCTAAGATTACAGATGTGAGCTATCATGTAATATAATTTTAATGTTAATGGTGGCATTATTTTGTAGTATTTTAATTCTGTAGATAATTCAAGTAAATGACAACTTCATTGCCAGAAACAGTGAGAATATTCAGTAAACTAAACAAAGAAAATGTTTTGAAAAAAGATTTTGGAGGTATCTTTGTGTGTGTACTTATTCACTAATTATAATTTATGACTTTACTGAGTATAAATAATATGATTATTTACTTAGAATAACATGATTTTATTGAACATTAACACAAATCCTACAGAAGTACACTATATACTGCATCTCCTTATAGCCACTCAATGAAACTGCAGAATAATATATTTAAGTGCACTGTATTTTTCATATATATATATATAAATGAAGATTCATTTATAACTCACATGCAGTAAGAGGAAACAGCAAAAATGAAATAGAACAATTATACCAAGGGAAAAATTATTTAAAGCCTATGAATTGTTTAGTTATAGAATTTTTTTCATTTCATGTTTTCAGACCTCTCAGTTGATTGGAAAAGTGAAATCTTAGGAAAGAAAACCTCATAAAATGGAGACGGACTACTGTAGTGAGATAGTGGTCAAGTGGAGATTCTGGTTTAAATCTTCTGTTTTCCCTCCCAACCTCTATGTACATAAAAGTTGATTAGTAATGATGTTTTTGAGAAAGATAAATGTGATTCCTTCTTTTATTTTCAAAGAACTTTATAGAACAACTTAATCACTTGAAGGAGTATGTTCAAATTACAAAGATGTGTTTATTCTGACAAATTTGAAGAAGGCTTCCAAAGAAAAAAATCCCAAGTTACTGAGGCATGTTGGCATAGGATGACAGTTTATATTATCTGTTACATCTTAAGTGCAATAGAAGATTTCATTTGGAAGTCCCTCATGCAAACCCTTTGGTGTTGGTGTGCTCTATCTATATCCTTTTGGAGCTGGTCCCTTGAGGACTCACAAGGGAATCCAGAAGACAATCTTAGACTTTCCATGAATTGCTCATCAAAGAGAAAGTGAACACCCAAGTCTAGATTACTGACCTACAGAACTTTATGCTGTGCTATTGCCATGGAAATATGTATCTCTCTTTTAAATATTTTAAAAAATTGTATCAGAATGAATATAAAGCCAGGCGCTGGTGGCTCATATCTGTCTTTGTAGCTACTCAGGAGGCTGAGACCTGAGGCTCGTAGTTCAAAGTTAACCTGGGCAGGAAAGGCCATGAGACTCTTACCTCCAATTAACCACCACAAAACTGGAAGTAGTGTGGTGGCTCAAAGTGGTAGAGCACTAGCCTTGAGCGCAAAGATCAGGGACCAACCCCAGGCCCTGAATTCAATCCCCATGACCAACCCCTCACCCCCCCCAAAAGCCAAAAGAATATAAAACCCACGTGTTAGTTAATATAAAGTAACATTATATATGACATTAACATGAAAAAGGAAACTATTGGAAGTGTTTTGACCATTAGTCCCAAGGACCCAGCATAAAAGAGTTATAATGATAGAATGTTTTCCATTAGTTGATCTGGAACAACTAAGCTTCTCCTTTAATGCAGCAACTAGTAAGGGAGCAAAGTTGAATTTCTTTTTGATTCTATCTTATCTAACTATTTTTATCTGCTTTTCGTGTTGGAAGCTTCTATTTTAGGGGACAGACTTGGTTAGATTGAAAATGGATATGTTTTAAACTCTAGAAGTAATCTCTCCTCCTAGTGTCCTGAGTAATAGGAGATTGAGAGGGAGGGAGAGAAGGGGAGGAAATGAAGAAGGAGGGAAAGAGAATTACTTAACAGTCCCCCTGGATATTGAGATGGAATTCAGTTATAATGAGGCACAAATAACAAGTTGTAACCCAGAGATACCTGAGTTTGCCTGGGAATGAGGCTGACTTGGCCTTCTTGAATCTTTTGTTTTCTCTTTTCCTTCAGTACAAAAGTATTTTGTGCCAAACGTTTTGTTCAGGTTCACCACACTAGAGTGTATTTAAAGTATTGTCCATGTTCTCTTCTAACAGTTTGAAAGTACCTTGCTTCTACAATGAAAGATGTCTGATAAGGGTAATAATTCTTTATAAATTGTAGACAGTATATGAAGTAATATATGTCAGACATTTAGCAAAAAAGTACATGGTAGATGCTGGAGAAATACTAGTTACTCTTTGAAATAACATTGGCAAGGGCCTAAGTAATTCTCTTTAAAATATCTCTTAAACTATCAGAAATATAGCCACAAAAAGCAGAGGAGGGATATAGTAATAATCTTTTACCATGTACTTTGGTTCAGGCCCTGAGCTGTTTTATATCTCTCTTCCCTGGGACTCTGCCAGGAAATTTTTATTCTCAAGTCTTTTTTTCTTTTTTTTCTTTTTTTTTTTTTTTCTGGGTCTGAACTCTGGGCCTGGGCGCTGTCCCTCAGCTCTTCAGCTCAAGGCCAGCGCTCTACCACTTGAGCCACAGCACCACTTCTGGCTTTTTTTTGCTTATGTGGTGCTGGGGAATCGAACCCAGGGCCTCATGCATGCAAGGCAAGCACTCTACCACTGAGCCACCTTCCCAGCCTTATTCTCAAGTCTTATCAGAGATGATTTATCCAGAGTTCCACTCTGAGTGGTGAAGCTTGCCTCTAAATCTATGTTTGCTGCTGTTGAAAAACCTGTGTTGTTTTCATTTTAAGGCAAAACAAAACTTACTCATGCCCTAAAACAGGAAATTTACAATTAACTTTTTGCTACATTTCTGATATATGACAGGCACTTCTAGATGTTTTTGGGTTTTTTTTTGTTGTTTTGTTTTTTGTTTTTGTTTTGCCAGTCATGGGGCCTGAACTCTGGGCCTGGACGCTGTACCTTAACTCTTCAGCTCAAGGCTAGTGCTCTACCACTTGAGCCACAGCACCACTTCTGGCTTTTTCTGCTTATGTGGTACTGAGGAATTGAACCAGGGCTTCATGCACGCAAGGCAAGCATTCTACCACTGAGCCACCTTCCCAGCCCTCTAGATGTTGTTTTATTCCAAATGTTTAAAATTATGATGTTTTTAAATTTAGCACTAAATCAAAAGCTTTCTGAATATCCTCCATAACTATCCAGTTTCTCAAATCTAATTTTCACAAACTATTGTTTTGTGACTAGAAGTCCAATCAGATTACCTGCAATCTTAAAAATAGCAGAGTAAGTTTGATGGCCAAACTGTAGTGTACCAATAGTCCTTCTACTTCTGAATTTTGTCTCCCTTAAAAGAGGAAGCTGACCAACTAGTTTGCATTTTTCTAAAAGATCTTGCTTCCTTCCTTTCCATCTCTATAGTCTTTTACCACTAAGCATGACTCATAACGCAATCAAAACTGTTCCACTAAACAACTGCAGAATACTTCCTCTCAGGCAGGCATGTGTCCTTCTCACTGAAGTAGTCAGTTCAAAATGGTGTCACCTCTCCTTTGCCACATGAGATCTGATGTCTTTTTATAATTTCTATATAATTAGTAATCAGTGTTAGTAACCTCAAATGTTTCTTAGTCTTTGTTGCTTTAAAAAAAATTCCTAACAGAAAGTATCTCTTGAGTTCCACAAGAAACAGTACCTGTAAAGCAAGGTATTCCTCCATTCACTTCCATGTTGGACGGGGCTAGAAAAGACAGTCACAGCCACTGTGCTTGGCTGCTTACAGCCATGTGGAGGTCACAGGCACTGAGCAGTTAATTAGAGGAGTATTGTGTTACATTGCCTTGTAACTGCTTATATGGGAGTGTAGAACATGAGTAAATAGCAAGAAATAATAGACAGGCTCAATAAAGTGCTTTAGGAATCAAGAGGAGAACAAGATTATTTATGTCTCAGAGCATGAAGGACAGCATTTTCAAGAACGCTTCATGTACCTCTACCAAATTTGTCTGACCTGCACAATGATATGAAAAATTCTCAAGGCAATGGGGATTGGCAAGGCATAAAACACTCATTTTTAAAAAATAAAAATTATGAGCCAGCTGCCAGTGGCTCACACCTGTAATCCTAGCTACTCTGGAGGCTGAGATCTGAGGATCACGGTTCAAAGCCAGCCGGGGCAGGAATGTCTGTGAGACTCATCTCCAATAAACCACCAGAAAACTGGAAGTGGTGTGTGGCTCAAGTGGTAGAATGCTTGCCATGAGCCTAAGAGCTCAGGGCCAGCACCTAGGCCCAGAGTTCAAGATCAATGACCAACAAAAATAAATAAATACATATGAAACAATTCACTGTCTTTTCTCATCACACATAAAAGGAATTTGTTTGTTTCTCTTTAGCTTATAGCCCTAGTGTAGCTGTATGGTAGAATGCCGTAGTCTTTTTGTGTCATAGTCTAATATTAATTTTTATATAAAATAAAGGCATAACATCTAGTGAAAAAAGGGCTAGGTACTTATATAAGATTTACCCTAGTGCCTTCAGCGTATGAGACACACTTTAGTTTCAGTAAAACAAAAACAATAGTATTTGGGTGTTGGAGGTTGGGCTCAGTTGGTTGCTACCCAGTGAGCAAAGTATCAGGTTCCAAATTCAACTCCTGGTCTAGGCCAAAAAAATAAAAAGTACTAAAAAAAGTCAAAGAATACACAGTATTTATGATGGAGTTCATTAGACACCAACCTAAATTACAACAGTACTATACAGCTAAGGTGTGATATTCTGGGATTTTAAATATAATGGCTCCTTCGTCCTCATAGTGCTGTGATACCCATTTTTCAGAGGAGAAAAGCAGAAGGAGTTTAACAGAGTGACAAGTAATTTAGCCATAAATGAAAAAATTGGAATTTAAGTCAAGGTCTTTGGGCTGAAAGTTGTTGCTATCTTCAGGTTTGTTATCACTGATCCATAAAGCAACCTTGCAAGGTGCACAGAAGACAAAAGTCACATTCAAAATTCGTGAAATAAGTAAGTGGCACATTTATGCCTTATTTGCACTAAGCCAATGAGCGTAATGAATTTTAGAAGAGATCATCTTGAATCTGTGTAGTTGTTTAAAAAATAAGAAAGCACCATTTTTTCCCAAAGGTATCAATATTGAGTAGATACTCGCAATTTAAATGACTTGCCCTTCTATCATTTAATCAGTCTGAGAGCCTCTGTGCCCATCTTCTGAGGGGAGAGCTAAATGAACAGCAAGGCCATCATATAAGAAATACTTAGACATTTTCCATGTCCTTGCCTTTAGCTGCATGTTGCTGTGATCCAGAAAAGTAAAAACAGAAAGTGTGTGAAAATGACCAGGTAAGATCTCAGACAGAGTGGAAGTTAGTCCGAGCTTTGAGGGATAGGAGAAATTGGATAGAGCCAAAGAAAGGAGCTTGAAGTGGAAATCAAGGTAATGTATATCAACCACAGAGATTGGATTAATCCTAGATATGGAGGTGAAGTAAGAAGCAGGAACCGAGCGTCTGTGCTGGAATTTTAGACCAGAGAGGTACATTGTGAACCTGGAGGAGGAAAAGAGGGAAGACACCGAAAAGCTGTTACCAAGCAGCAAATGCATCCAGGGTCTCCAGGATTTTCCCCCTTTACTTTATTCTTTGGTTCCACAAGTCAGCATGAGGACTGACTACCAGATGTTCATGTGTTCATTTCTTAGAGAAACGAAGGCGATCTCTTCCACCGGCTGTGGCATATCATGAATGAAATCCTGGATCTGCGGCGGCAGGTACTTGTTGGCCATCTTACCCACGACCGGATGAAGGATGTGAAGCGCCATATTACTGCCCGCCTTGACTGGGGGAATGAGTGAGTACAGACTTTTACATGGTGCTCTCTAGTGGGGGAACACAACAATACTGACACAGATTTTAGCCAGCATGTAGTATACCAATCACACAGGGTTTTCCATTCTTCCCTTTTCAGGAGCTTTGTGTGAACTGTCACTGTTGGGAGTCAAGATATATACCATCTAAGTCTGGTGTGGGCACTGAGACACTGCTGTCTAGTGTCTGTGTGGTATGGTACTCACAGAGAATGGAATGTTCATTGGGATTACCTCCATATGGATGTGTCTGAAATGGGCCTGACTTAAGCCTAATGTCTGGCATAAGCTTATGTATATGCTTTTAATATCTACCTCCTCCATGTCATGGTGAAGGTCACCAGTATAATGCAGAGGGAGAAAGTGCTACAAAGTCTTTATGACACAGGCAGCACTGGGACCTTTTAATCATTACTGTGATGGGTCCTCTGCAAGCTATGTAGAAGAGAACCATCCCAGACACTTAGAGGAGCTACTTTGGGAACTCAATAAACGTTGTTCTTCAGGGAGATTTGCTTTTAAATAAACGTTATTAAAAATAACAGCCAAGCACTTAAGTAGTAAATCTAATCACTGAAAACTAAGACCAAAGCTAAAATACTAATTGAATATTAATGTAGGAGTAAGAAATGAAAATGAGCCAACTTTGCATACAATCTTTGTGTACAATCTTAGGGCTACATAAAACCCAAGTTTAAGGCTGGGAAACATTCTTTAGTATCCCCCAAATCCATATTTACTATTTGACTTTCAAAGTGTCTTAGAGCAAGGGGGGGGGGGGGGAAGTGTAAGGGAATCAGTCAGAAAAGGAGAAAATAGCAAGAAGTGAACCATAGATCAACTGGCATCTGACTGAGTATGAAAAAAAATCTCCAATATTTAAAGGTCGAATTCTGATTCCTGTAGCTATACCAATTCACTTTATCAGAAGGCAGGTTTGAGACTTGCTAAAGTGTTAAATACTGTAGATATGAAAACATGGATCTACTGACATACTTTAAATTTCCCTCTCCCCTAAAGTACTTTGATATCTTCTTGAACTCCCTAATTTTTTTTATCTTTTTCTAGACAATGAATAGGTTTACTTATTTCTAGATGATTCTTTATGTGAGCAATAAAGCAAGTGCAGATGTGGAGTGTAAGCTAAAGCATTGCATTAAGACTGCTATTTTTTCTAAAGACCAAAAAAAAAAAATCTTGAGAACTTCATTGAACTGAAAATGCATTGTCTTTTTTGCTTATTCTCCATTTCAATGTTATATTCATAACAGTAGTAGTAAATAAAGCATGAACTTATTTTTCCCTTCCATTTTAATATTTGCATAAATTCAAAGGACATCATGGAACTCTATGAGTAACAGAAATGTTTATAGTTAGTTTAGTTGTGCTGAGGTTCTCAGATGAGAAGACCTCTTTTGCAGAGTTCAGAATGGGACAATGAAGGTTTCAGGAATGCTGTCAAAAAGAGTGAACTGAATTTCAAGGCCTGCTCCAAGATAATGTAATTGAAAACACATAGTGTCTCCTGGCAGATTAGACTTGCAACCATTGGGTTAGACTTTTCTTGTTATGTGTTATGTAGTCACCATGGGAGAGGTTAACTCTTTGGGATACTGGAGCATGACCCTGGGCTGCCTAGCTGTTGCATGACTTTAGATGTTGCATGACTCCATTTTTTACTTATATGACATCTCACTTGTACTTTGATCAGTTCTATGGCTAATTTATGGTAAGTTGGCAAAACATTGATATGAGAAAATCAACGGTATAGTTTGAAATCAACACCAAATTTATGAATTTTTCTGAACCTTTTTTGTTTTCCTTGAACTTCATTGAACAATTATTTTAAAATAATTTACAGAATAGAGATTACATACCTATTTCTTTAAGAATAAATTTATTTCCTTATTGATTTGTGCTAAGTGAAAAGCCAACAAAGATAATTTGTTTGGCTATTAGATTAAATCACATTACACTGCAAAATTATTTGTCAGAACATAAATCTTTGGATGAATAGGAATTAGGTGTGATCAGTCTCAAGTTGTATATCAGACTGTTAAAGAGAGTTCCTCAGGATGTGGGAAGCATGGAGAAGGAGGAGATAACCTATCTTGTTGTTAATGAAGTCAGCAAAAGAAGCCTTCTCACTTGAGATCCGTAAGTAGAATTAAAGCAGTGGTGCCTATTTCTTTTGCCCATATAGTCTTACAATTTTGCTTGAATTTCTGCTGAGATCATATGGGAGGGAGGCAGAATCAGTCCGACCTTTCTTTCTGATTTCAGAATAGTTTAGTCATTTAGTGCTCACTTTTTCCTTCCAGCTCCTGTCTTCACATATCCTGTGTGGTGGTTTTCCATTTTTTTCTCTCCTTGCCTTGTCTTATTTCTTCATATTTTTTTGTACTGCACTGCTCCAGTTATATTCTGTCTACTAAGAAACCACAAACCACGTCTGGTTTATCCTAAGCTTATACTATAAGGCATTAACAAAAATCAAATAGAAACAGATTTTCTTACTCAACTGGGACTCCAGTATCCATGGAAAACCTGAAAAACTGCAGGCCTATGAAAAAAAAACTGCACAGTGCTAGATCTCAGGATCTAGCAGGATGGTTCTGGAGTTCATACCTTTTCTAGAATCTCTGGTATTTATCTTTACCCATGCTGCAATGATCTTGCTCACCTGCCCTTCACATGTTTTTTTTTTTTTTTCCGAAGCTCAAATTCACAAAGAATGGATCCAATTAGCAGTTAATACCTATTAGTCCTTTGTGAGCTGAACATTGTAATTGCCAGGTGCTTATAAACTGCTGGCTGGTCGTGGCTAGTCTGTGGATAACTTGTTGTAGGTCAGGTGCCATCAAGAAGAAAAGAGGCTCAGATGAGTGTCTCATCTGCCCCTGTATCACCCAAAGAAAAAAAATAAGTAGAAGAGTTTCTCATAGAAACAGCTTTGGAAAAGGCAGGCACTATGATTCCCATATGATTATACCTTCTCTTTCCTTTGTTGGATAATCTTTCAGCAACAATGTAGTCCCAGTGTCAAACGATATTGTAGACTGTAATGCAGTGATTCTGTCTTGAAAGGAGACTGAGAACAGGAAACCAGGAACATATTTTAACAGAATCCCTAGTGAAATATAGCAAAGAAGACATGGATATTTTTAAACTAAATAGCTGTTCTTACTGAAAGTTTATCCACAAGAATGGGTATGTGATTTCTTTGAGTTTCTCAATGAATAATATAATTTAGAAAAATTGAGAAAGTATTTTAGTAGCAGAAAGACAGCACCTACTCTCAAGTGACAATCTTCTAATTTAAGAACAAACATCTTTCCGTGTAGCTGAGCAGTACTTGGGTTGAAGTAGGTACTGAAGTAATAAATTTTATTTGTTAAACTTTGAGATTTTTGAAGAGGGCGTAGAGTTTCAGGATTCTTTTATTTTCTTCTTAATACAAAAGTAAGAAGCCTATAGTTCTATAATTGGAAGTTAAAAGCCAAAGGCTTCTGTATTAGAGAGGATGATGGTGTGAAAGTGATGCAGAATAAATTCTCAGATAAGTACTCATGAAACCTGGAATGTGGTAATTGAGGGAATTCTGGCAAGCAGATGGTATGTTGGCCTTGATCTACAGGGTATTATGAAGGTAGGCCGAAGCCATAGATTTGGTGTCTGATCATTATGGAAGTGAACAGTATGACATTTGTATCAGTGTTGCATAGTAGATGCCCTGGAGAGGGTTTATGTTACCAAAGTCAGGAGAGAGGAACTGGTCAGAACAGGGTTATAATGTTGCAACTCACCACCTGCCCCTCAGCCTGCCACTACCTGGAGCAAGACAGTAAAGGAGATTCCTGAGGTTTGAGGTACCAGGGGACCAGACCAGTAGCCTTCCTCTGGCTTCAGATCCCAAGGTTCCAGCCATCGAGGTTTTTATTGATCTTGTATAGGGAAGCATGTACAGAAAGTAAGTATAAACTTCAACTTGTGACGGTATTTTATGTTCAAGTGGTGGATGCCCTCCTTATTCTGGGAAAGAGAGGTAAATAGTAAACAGCTTACAATTTGCAAAAACCTGAGGCACCCACAGGCACCCACACAGTTTAGGGTGGAGTTAGCCCACACCCAAGGTAGAAATCAGAATTTTTGTTAAGTCATGACTGACTATCCAGGAAACTCTCTGTGTTCTGAGAGTACATTGGGAGAAGGCATTCCAAACTCCCAATCCTTTCAGGGTCTCACAACTTGGATTTTTTGGGCTCTCACATTGTATGCACTTTCCTCTGTCCCTGCTAAGACATAGCAACTCAGTTACCATCCTTGGTACCTCTAAGATTGAATGTAACTTTGTCATGGAAAGCCATGTGTTAGTGACAATGACACATGACACAAGAAAGTAAACCATTTTGCCATTCTAGATCTAGAACTGTGCTTGCTATTTCTGTTCCTTGCCTTCATTGGCTTTTTCCTTTTATTATATCTCAGAACTTGCCTTGAATGGACACTGCACACTAGTCTGTAGGGATTCACATTAGAAATGTAGTAACTCTGTGTGTAGCTAACTATGTTAGTATTAGGCCAATTCCTAAAGGCTAAACATGCCTCTTCTTCACCTCAGTTTCCAGAACCAGATTGATTCTAGCTCTTGTTTCCTCATTACTTACACAGGAAAGAAGAATTTTTCTGGCAATAATCTGTGGGGGTATTGAAGGCTCTTCATCACATAGTGCCAGGGCTTCCAGTGGTGGGAGAATCTGCTGATTATGGACATGACTACATCACCTTTTGATTTTCTTAGATTTGTCATCTTCTATTTCTCTCTTAAGCTCAGTATCCTGCTTTATAACTTACCTCAATTGCAGGAAACAAGCATACCATGTAAAACTATGAGTGAAAGAAGCATGGAGGTTGATATCTCTAGTTTCAGGTCAATGTACTAAGGACTATTATGACAATATATTTCATACAGGTGACTTTTCTTCCTCTGTAATTTATTTTCTAGACAACTGGGACTGGACCTGGTGCCGAGGAAAGAGTATGCAATGGTGGATCCAGAGGACATCAGCATTACTGAGCTATACCGACTGGTAGGCACAGAAAACATTGGCTCACAGCCTCGTTTGCTAATTTTGTGGTTTCCATGGCACTCTTCGTTTTTGCTTGATAGTGTCAGAACAGAATGCTCCAAGTTTAATTTGAAAAGAGTAAAGAGACTTGAAAGCTGAGGTGACCATGCCCTGAGTACCATACTGGGACATTTTCTTCATCTCACAATGATGCTATTCTCCACAGAGCCCTTTACTCACAAGCATTAAGAAGTAAAATCAGTTTTAAGTTCTTTTGAAAATCTTTGCACTTTCTACCTTGTCTAGTGAGATACTCACAAGAAAGTTACACCTGCTTACCTGTTGTGTTTCCAGACAGTGCTTTAAGTAATGGTGCCAGCCATTGTTCACCAATATATTAGCCCTCCTCCCTTCCCCTGTTATTGTTATATACACAGACTACCAGAAGGATCTTTCTTCTCTTTAGCCTTCATGGCTATGCTTGCTCGTCTCCCAAACTCAGTCCATTTCTTTTTTTTTTTTTTATTTTTATTTTATTTTATTTTATTTTATTTGAAAACATACTGTACAGAGGGGTTACAATTACATGGGCAGGAAAATGCATACATTTCTTACCAAGCATTGCAGCCTCCTCCTTTGTTTACCCTTCACCTCCCTTCCCAGCCTCTCCCCTCCCCCCCACCCAATCATACCCCCCCTCTTTCCCCCCCACCGACATTGTAAAGCTGGTTTTGACATGACATTTTGTACTTCTCATTGTTGCAACAGGTCCACCTGAATCCTTAAACGACTTGTTTGTCCCCGTCTCCTCCACATGTTATACTGACATCAAATATAGTGAAAGCGGGGGTTACACTGTGGGGGAGGGACATACAAAGCAACAAAGAAATAATATTATAAATGCGTTAGAAACACATGCATTAATGAAACAAAAACATTAAAATACATATTTGAGGGTTCGTTTTCCTAACATCACATTCTCTGACTTTTTCCGCTTGACTCATACCTATACTAGATATTGCAAATAAGGGAAACCATGGGACCTATGTTTCTTTGGGCCTGGCTTACTTCACTTAATATAATTTTTTCCAAGCCTTTCCATTTCCTAACAAATGGGGCAATGTCATTCTTTCTGATGGAGGCATAGAATTCCATTGTGTATATATACCACATCTTCTTGATCCATTCATCTACTGAGGGGCATCTGGGTTGGTTCCATATCTTAGCTATGGTAAATAATGCTGCAATAAACATAGTTGTGCTGGTAGCTTTAGTGTGGCCTTGTTTGTGGTCATTTGGGTAAATGCCCAAAAGTGGGATTGCTGGGTCATAGGGGAGCTCTATGTGGAGTCTTTTGAGGAACCTCCATACTGCTTTCCAAAGTGGTTGAACAAGTTTACATTCCCACCAACAATGAAGTAAGGTTCCTTTCTGTCCACATCCCCTCCAGCATCTGTTGTTGTTAGAGTTCTTGATTTTTGCTGTTCTAACTGGAGTGAGGTGATATCTCAATGTTGTTTTGATTTGCATTTCTTTTATGGCTAGGGATGTTGAACATTTCTTCATGTGTCTATTGGCCATCCTTCTTTCTTCTTCAGAGAAGCTTCTCTTTAGGTCTTTCGCCCACTTACTTATTGGGCAGTTGTTTCTTAGAGGATTTGTTGTTGGGGGGTTTAATTTTTTTGAGTTCCAAGTATATTTTAGATATGAGACCCTTGTCCGTTGTATGGCTAGTAAAGATCTTCTCCTAATCCGTGGGCTTTCTATTGATCTTGCTAGCTATGTCATTTGCCCTGCAGAAGCTCTGCAACCTTATACAATCCCATTTGTCCAACCTTTCTTTGATTTGTTGTGTTTCCGGGTCTCTATTCAGAAAATTTCGGCCTGAGCCGAGGAGACCCAGGGTTTCTCCTATTCCATCCTGTAATGTTTTCAGAGTGTCTGCTTTGAGTTCAAGGTCTTTGATCCATTTGGAGTTGATTCTGGTGCAGGGTGATATATAAGGATCTAGCTTTAGTTTTCTACATGTAGTTAACCAGTTTTGCCAGCACCATTTACTGAAGAGGCTGTCTGTCTTCCATTCTATTGTTTTAGCTCCCTTATCGAAGATTAGATGGCTATAGGTCTGTAGGTTCATTTCTGGGTTTTCAATTCTATTCCATTGGTCCTGAGGTCTGTTCTTATGCCAATACCAAGCTGTTTTGATTACTATGGCTTTATAGTAGAGTTTGAAATTTGGTATTGATATTCCTCCAGCAGTGTTCTTTCCGTTGAGGAGCGTTTTTGCTATTCGGGGTCTTTTATTGTTCCATATGAATTTTTGGATTGCCTCTTCTATTTCCTTGAAGAATGAGGATGGAATTTTGATAGGTATTGCGTTAAATTTGTAGATAGCCTTGGGAAGTATTGCCATTTTCACAATGTTAATCTTTCCAATCCAGGAGCATGGGAGGTTTTGCCATTTTTTAAGTTCTGTGTTGATTTCCTTTTTCAAGATTTTAAAGTTTTCATCATAGAGGTCCTTCACTTCTTTAGTTAAGTTAATTCCTAGGTATTTTATTTTTTGTGGGGCTATTACAAATGGAGTTGCTTTCCTAATTTCAGCCACACTTTACTCAGTCCATTTCTAAGGGCTGAAGCCCATTGATAAGCATAAAATAATTGATCAGGTGACTTATCCAGGCATCAGTTGTAATTTGTGAGTTTTTTTTGTTTTGTTTTTGTTTTTTTTTTTTCTTAGCATCTAGGTTCCTCAACCCTGAGGTATAATGGCTTGGTTTTTAATCTTGTATTTACAAATGCTTAGGTATAAAATGTACCTGATTTCTTAATATTAATGAAGCTCTCTTAAATACTAAATTAGAGGAGATGGTTGGGAAAGGCTTTCAAAGACTATCACCTTAAGCATGATCTTTACTTTGATCTCATTACTACTATATTGTACCATAATAGTCTGAATAGTCCTGAGAGGAATGCCTAACAAAAAGAGATCTTTTTTTAAAATCTTGCTTCTTTTAGGGTAGCTCTCCAAGCGAATGTACTTTTCTGAGAAATGGGGTACTCTTAACTTGAAGATTATATGTGAAAAATGCAGAAGCCCATTGAGATTGTGCCTGATTTGAACTGTCAGATGCAGTTACTGTCACTTTCTATCTTTTATTTTTCAACCACCTATTCAGATGATCTCTATTCTTTCAGGTAGAATACATTCAGCTTTTGCAGCAGATTCCCTTACTGACCACAGAATTTACTTTTTGATAGCTATTCCTTAATGACACCTGTGCTAATAAGGCAGGGTGTTTGGCTCATCTTAAGGAGACAAAGTTAATTGGAAAGAGATAAGGGTAAAAGGAAGGAACAAGATAAGAATATTGCAAGCTACAGTCATCACTACTCTGAGCATATAAATAAACTTTTTATATGTCATTTGTCAGTCAGATTTACTAGTGTCCTATCTTTGTTCATGTGGTCCATTGTTTTCCTACTTCTAAAAATCTCTTAATTTTCATCTTCTTCAGATCGCACACTGTCATCTCTTCCTTTGCTGTGCTCAGAATAATCTCATCCAGTGCGTTATACTGAATAAACATCTCATTGTTTTCCAGCCATTATGGTAATATGAGTGGGCCGTGGATTGTAGCTACAGAAAACTTGATTTGTGCTCTGTGATCTTGAGTTTATCATTTCTACTCCCTGAGCCTCAGTTTCTTCATTTACTAAATGGAGAAATATTTTTTCATGTTTTATTAAATAAGAATGCATATAGTGCCTTCCCTTGACAGATATTTGCAAAACACTTAAATGTTCAATCCAATTTTCGTTCCTTTCTCATTTTTATTTCATATGCATTAGAGAGGCAACATGTCAAGGATAATTGATATGCTAAATTTTGGTTTAGATTTGGCTGTTCTAAATGAAATGAATAATAGAAGGTGACATGTGACTGAAAGTTAATTTAGGTATAGAAGCAGGAAGTTCTAAGTTGGTTTGTAGCTTGTGAAAAAGGACACAGGCTCTTTACATGTTTCTGTCTTCATATGCATTGTATAACCTCCACCATCAAGTACAATATAGCTGCAAGGGTTGTAGGACAAGGTTTTCTCTCACTGAGTGAGCTTTTATGAGCCTTCCTGAAAATTCTTTGCAGTACTCACATTTACATATCATTGGCAGACTGTAGTCATACCTGAAGATGTCAAATATTTGTTGAAGAACTAAGTGAATCTTACTTTCCCTAGTTCAGTTGTCTGTTTGTGACTTTGTCTATTCTTTTCCTTTATCATGTATTTTTTTATATCTTTAAGTATTCCAATTTCTTGGTGGTGGCTATCTAGAGTAAAGTGATGGTAAGATTTGGGATCTCATGTAAATTGATTAGTCATGTATGCCTCGGTGAGAAGGTCGAATTGTATTTTAGTATTTTTAGCTCTGGATTCTCGGCCAAAGTCTTCATTTTGTAGATGAGAAAAAAAAACACCATGATTTTGCATGGAAATTTATTTTCTCCTCAGTAATAATTGCATTTTGCTGTTTACAAAGCAAAGACAATAGCCTAAGGAACACCCAATGTTTAAAAGGACATGTTCTCTTCTTTGAGACAGCTTCTTTTTGAAGTTCCTGTTTGTTTCCTGGCTAGCAGTCATCAGGCCCTTTGTCTTCCTGGTTTTTCTTTTTCTTGCCATGTGCAAGTGACTGACTGCATTGTTGTTACCAGGAAGAGTTGGGGAAAAAACTACCATCCCTTGTTTGTGTTGTTTGGCCTTTGTTGTTGTTGTATTTTTTGCCACTTTTGGATCAAGGATCAAGGCATGAAGATAAAATGTCCCATAGTTGAGTTCTTTCTTGTCAGTGTCATATTTGAAACATAATTCTTTGCATCTTACTAAATTCACAGTGTATCATTAGAAAAAATGTCTTGCTTTAGGTTTTTGCTAGCCCTGTTAGCAGCTCTTTCTTACTAATTATGTTCATCTGAGCATTAAAAGTGCTAACCCTGGCTCTGTGTCCACTTGGAAAGTTTGGTGTTGTGCCAAAGGCCAATCTCAACCTCTATCAATAAACAGAAGCCAATTAGGTAGATTCCCTCATTATTTGGGCACACAGCATATCTTTTTTGGAATATTTTATGCTTCCTTCCTATCCGTTCTTAATGGGTTAGACTAGTGGAAAGCAGTGATTCTAAGAAGGAGTTTAGTGCCTCACAGAGTACAAAGGATGTCTGAAGATAGTATTTGGTTGTCAGATAGATGAGAGCAGCAAAGGTGGGCGAAAGGCCAGGAATTGTGTTAAACATCCTGCAGAACCAGGGCAATCCTCATAATAAAGATTTAATGCAAATTGTTGACAGGATAAAAGGTTGAGAAACCCTGGTACAGTCAGACAGTTCTTGTAAGAGTTAATGTGTATTGTTTGAGCTTTAGATATTTAAAGTCAATGAAGTCTTTGGGCTGAATCTCTTTCTTTTCCTAATCAACGGTATCATTAAACTGGAAACAGTGTAGAGCCACTAGTAGGTACATTTGTAATCCTAAGTTATTTCAAGGTGAATTTTTGTTTCTGTAATTACCAAATTATTGTTGTTGAAGTGTATACATGCCTTTTTAGTTTTGTTAGTACAGTATTATTTTCACAGATATTTTCACAGCACCCCCAAAGTAGTAAAGGGATAACAGCAAGTAATCATAACTCACTGAAGTCCATATCCATCCCAAACCTAGAAGCATAGTGGATAATAGGAGAGAAAGGGGAGATTTCAATGCTAAACATGCCAAACATAAGGGAGGGTCTATGTCACAGGTAAAAAGGGGGAGACTCTGGCAGACTTATTACTAGAATGCACACAAAGAGCAATAGTTCTCAGTAATTAATTATTCAAAAGATGTGACAATACATTTTTCAGTCTGCTGTGGTTTGTATCTCTCATCATGTGATTATCAATGATTCTCAACCCTCATTGCCCATTAGAGCCACCTGGGGAGCTTTTAAAACCACCACTCTCTGGACCCCCATCCCCTGGAAATTCTAATTTAATTGTTTTGTGATAGGACCTGGGCATAAGTATTTTTTAAAAGCTCTCTTGGTAACTCTAAAGTGCATCCAAGGTTGAGAACCACTGATCTAGATATATTGAATTCTTTGCATGAGTAAGAGGGATACTTTTTTTCTGTCAGTTCTTGGTAATATCATGATTGATGCTGGAATCTTTGCATTCTTTGAAGTCAAGAGCAGACACCCTCTTGAGGTTGGTCCATTTTTTTTCTTAAGACTCTTAAATCTGTTTCTCTAGCTCTGTCTTTTAGCAGTCATTCATTTCTTCAGAGTAGCTTGTGTTATATGACCCTTTTGAATATACATATGTTAAGCTTTATAATATAACTCAGCAAGTAAGTTAGCAGTTCTAGGGGAAAAAAGACTTCCCTCTGTGATAAAAAGATATATTTTTCTGAATATGTGATGCTTTTATTTTAGCGAAAAGAAATTTAGGGGGCTGGAATTTTAAAAGCACAATATAGAGCCACCTTCATAGAAAAACAAGGTGGAACTATGGGTTTCCCCCCCCCCCCTTACAGTTAGAATTTTTTCTCCATGAACTACTTCTAATAACTATGAGTAATTCATTCCACAGTACTGAGATACACATTGAAAAGAATGTATTTACCTTTCACTTTTACAGGGACATGCCAATCTGTTCTTTAGTATAAAGGAACTACTGACGCACATGATGGATTACTGTTTTTTTATCTTTTGCTTCTCAAGTGGACAAATTAAAAAGTTTGAAAAAATGTGATAATATGCTGTGTCATTTACAACTGTACGTTGTAAAGGTAGTCTTTTAGTTTGGAAAATTGGTCAGTCATTCAGTAATAATTTTTCAACCATACTGAGAATCTTTAGATGATAAACATAGAAACGGGGTTATGGGTTATGACCTTCCCCCCCCACCCCAAGGCTGTACTGTGAGGTTAAAATCTCCCTGTTTTAAAATTATTTCATTGGCAGGTGATTAAAAGTGATTACTCAGTGATATGAAAGTGATGAGTCTTCCCTTCCTTCACACCTGTTCTGTTAATACACAAGCCTTCCTAGGTGCTTTTCCTGTCTTCTTATCCTCTATCATTGCTGCTCAAAGCATTGTCCAACACCTGGCTAAATTGTGACCTTTTGGAAGCTCGGCGAAGTATATAATTGATGAGCAAATAATTAGAAACCTTTAGGACATTTTGACATTGCCATGATATTTTTAATGTATTTTATGAAAGTACCTAAATATTAGGAGGAAATGCAACCTTGGCCCTACTTTAAGCAGTCTGGGGAGTCCTGTCTTAGAGGAGGTATAATTTCTGCTCCTTTACCTTTCAGCTACTCTGTCTTTTTTCTGGGAAAAGTTTGACCCAGACTACAAACTCCAGTTTTAGACTTTCATGATATTGCACTTCTTCTCCTGCATTCATCATAATTGCAGTTTGTGTGTATGTGTGTATGTGTGTGAGAGAGAGAGAGACAGAGAGACAGAGACAGAGAGAGAGAGAGAAAAACATTTTTACTGTTTGTTCCTCCTTGGGAGTGTCATCTCCCTGACAGCATGGACGATTTATGCATTCACTTACTATTATATCCCCAATGCTTGTCATGAGGTAGATACTTAACAAATATATGTTGGCTGATTGACCTTCCCCATATTCCCCTCACCCTTAGATCCAAGATGTCACCACCAAATCACTCACTAATTTCTTGTTTTAGGTGCTATTGGTTGCTTCCGACCTTGCTAATTGTGTTTTTATTGGGATGGGGGTTTTTCATTCAGATGGAATATCGGCATAGGAAGAAAGATACCCCAGTGCAGGCTAGCAGCCACCACCTCTTTGTCCAAATGAAGAGCCTCATGTGTTCCAACCTGGGAGAGGAGCTGGAAGTCATCTTTTCACTCTATGACAGTAAAGAGAACCGGCCAATCAGGTAACCAAGTACTTATGGAGATAGAACATGTATTTCTTAAATGTTACAATGGTGAATGTATGTGCTTAGCAATTTAAGCTACATCATCACAGAAACTTTGACTCTATCAGCCTCAATTTTCTCATCTCTGAATCTCTGAGTTTTGAACTTGCCAACTTCTGCGTGTTTGCAAAAATGTTAGATGGATGGTACCTGCAAATGTCTTTGAAAACCTTACAAGGGGCATAAAACTATGGTGAAGAACTAGAAGTATGGCCTTGCCATGAGGTCGGTTATTGTTTTAGTAATTTAATATTAATAAAGAAAAGATCATTTCTATATAGTCTGAAGTTTGTTTCCTTGTCAAAGTCAGTATGTCTTTCGTTTTTTTCAGTGCACAGTTTTATTGTTATTTTTCTTTTTGATCAGATTATATCAAGAGACACTAAATACAAATGTTCTGATAAAATTTTAGAGTTGAAAAATGATTTTTTTAAGTTTTCAATTTCTTTTTCTTCTCCCTCTCCCTCCTCCTCCTAACTTTCCAGTACTGAGATTTGAACTCAAAAGTTTTGCAAGCACCCTACCACTTGAGCCATACTGGCAGGCTGCTTGGTTTTAATATCTTTTTCAGATAGTCTCACTTATGCCTGGGGCTAGCTTGAATCTTCTATCTGCTGCTTTCTCCTCCTGTGTAGCTATGATTACGGATGTGCAACCACATGCCTGATACCTGCCTTGTTTTTTGAGATAAGGCTTTACTACCATTTTTTCCTCCCCAGGCTAGTATGGAACCACAGGGCTCCCATTTTCAAGGCACTACAGCCAAAGACTGCTATACCTGGCATTTTCTTTCACAAGCTTACCTGTTGTTATTCTTTTATTATTAGCTCTTATTTTTATTATTAGGTGTGTGTGTGTGTGTGTGTGTGTGTGTGTGTGTGTGTGTGTGTGTGTGTGTGTAGTGGTGCTGGGGATCAAACTCAGGCCTTACGTGTACTGAACAACTCTCTTCTGCTGAACTATGTCCCTCTCAATCTTTTCAGATGCCTTTGGTTCTTATTTCCGAATCTCAAATATCATTGAGATTTTTAATTTCTTTAGTTTTATATTCATCAAAGTTTATTTCCAACATAGTGCAAACAAGGCCATACTAAAGCTAGCAACACAACTATGTTTATCGCAGCATTATTCACCATAGCTAAGATATGAAACCAACCCAGATGCCCCTCAGTAGATGAATGGATCAAGAAAATGTGATACACACACACAGACACACACACACACAGACACACTCTCTCACACACACACACACACAATGGAATTCTATGCTTCCATCAGAAAGAATGACACTGCCTCATCTGTTAGGAAGTGAGCAGACTTGGAAAAAAATCATAGTAAGTGAAGTCAGCCAGACCCAAAGAAATACAGGTCCCATGGTTTCCCTTATAATGCAATAATTAGTATACACCTAGGATAATCTTATCAGATGAGCAGAAAAGCTCAACAGCTATGTACATATAACCATATAAGACAATGCTAAGTGGAATGAACCCCACAATATGGACACAAGAGGTTTTTTCTTTATTGTTGTTGTTTTTAATGTATTATGTGATTTTTTTGTTTCCTTTGTATGCTCTTCCCCTTATGGTATATCCCTTGTTGTCACTGTATGTGATTTTGGTCCCCTGCATCTTGTATGTACATTTATCTAATTTGGGGAAGGAAAGGAGAGAAACAAATTGCTGGAACAAGGACACAGGATGACCCGTTGCAACAATGAGACTCATAAATACCAAATTTTTAAGGAATTCCGATGCAGATATATTGTTTCATGAATGTAAAATAATCTGGGACTTCTTTCTGATAGAATGAATTTCTTTTTCTAGGAAATATGTATGGAATTTATTTTAAATTCAGGTACAGCCATATAATCTTTGATAAATTACTTGATGTGTTTATTATTATCTACTGGTACATGTACTTTTTCTTTCCTGATGGGGAATTGTGTCACAGAATTTAGAAGATCGTATTTTTATGAAATAAGAACAGAATTTATGATGTGTTTCTGTATAATGGTAATATTTCAAAATCCCCTTCCATACTGTTGGTGGAAATGTGTGTGAGAAAAATTGCTCCCCACCCATGAACACTGTTAAGGGAAAGGGAAGTCTTGAAATGCTGATCTAGCTTACAGCCCAGCCCTTGACTTAATGTGAAAGATTGTTTAGAGGTAACATTTGCTTACCTGTTGAAGTGAATCTAGTTTATAGACTCTTGCCAATATTGCTTTATAGTCACTTTAATAGGCTTGTATTTGTATATATATGTTTCATATGTTTATATATGTCTCATATGTTTATATATAGTCTCTTTAATATGTTTGTCAAGCTATATGGAGTGTAAGAGGGGGAAATGATATGATTTTGTCCACTTTTTGAGAAACAGGTTCCCCTTTTCACTAATGTTGAAATTGTACTATCATAAGACTGTATCAATTAAGACTTATATCAGCTTCTTTCTGTATTTTGTCTTATAAGGAATATTTTCAGATTTTCTAAGATATTCTAAGTATTGCCCTCAGAGTTCCCTTGTTTTATTCTGATTTATTTGATGAAAATAAGAAAATATCTAGATATAGAATCCTCAAAATACTGTCTTTGTGTTCCCAAGTTCATCTAGAAGATGAGCCATTTTTCTTTTTTCTTTCTTTTGGGTCGTTGAGCTTGAACTCTGGGCCTGGGTGCTGTCCCTCAGCTCTTCAGCTCAAGGCTAGTGCTCTACCACCTGAGCCACAGCACCACTTCCGGTTTTCTGGTGGTTTATTGGAGATAAGAGTTTCACAGACTTTCCTGCCCGGGCTGGCTTTGAACCGAGATCCTAAGATCTCAGCCTCCTGAGTAGCTAGAATTACAGGTGTGAGCCACTGGCACCCGGCTGAGCCCTTTTTCTGGAACATGGTTGAGCTATGATGCTTGCCGGACTCCGTCATTCCACCATTCCCTTGCCTCTAACATCCCAGTTGGTTTGTACTGAATACTTCTCTGCTAGCGCTCACTGAGTGGGTTCATCTATGTTGCTCACCTCTCAGAAGCTCTATGAGGTTATTTGACAAATGAATCAATAAAAATCACAATATATGCTTCTGGGGTATTTGGCATAATCTTGGATTTATTCGGTGACATTTCTGATGCTTATAGCAGCACAGTGATTGTTTTCTGTTAGGCAGTGTTCAAAACCTTGTTAAGAGTAAGCCTTGAGCTGAAGAGCTGAAGGACAGCGCCCAAGCCCAGAGTTCAAGCCCTACCACTGACAAAAAAAAAAAAAAAAAAAGAGTATGTTAAGTTCAAACTACCATTAACATGGGCCATATCCCCTTGTGAAGAGGCCAGAGGTTATTGTCTTAAGACTAAGTGAGATTCTTGCCTCTAGAGTATGTGGTGGTTTATTCACCCACATCTTATCACCCACCTTCATCTGGGAAGTAGCCATACTCCTTATTTCCTTTATTCTAACTAGCAGAGCTAATGAATATAAAGCATTATTAGTATGAGATAAGGTTTTAGGAATTTTGTGACACTTTAAATCATTATCTTTTTTGACTTATTTAATTTTGGATATCATACAAGTACAACAGAGGGCTGAGGATATAAGTCAGTGAAAGAGTGTTTGCATTTGCTGAGCTTGTATAAAACCTGGCTTTCATTGCCATTAACACACACACACACACACACAAACACACACACACACACACACACACACACACACACACACACACACACAGAGCCTAGTTTTAAGAAGTGCTCATGTACTGATTACCAGCTTCAACAATTACCATCTTGGAGTCTTTTCTTAATCATACATTTCCAACATGCCTTTCTGTGCCCAGAATATTTTGAACAAATCCCTGACCTCATGTCCTTTAAAAAGTATCTCAGGTTGTATATCTAAGAAAGGGAATTCTGAAAGAACTTACCTGAGAAATTAATATTCTTTTGACATTATCAAATATCCTCTTCCTGTCAGCATTCAGATTTCCACTGTTGACTCATAAATGTTGCTTTACAAATTGTTCAGATCTTGTATAGTCATATTTCCCCTGGAGTTTCCTTTTTCCTCTCTGTCTTAAATTCCTCGCATTTTATTTGTACAAAAATGGAGGGTAGTCATTTTGTTTATTTCATTTTTGAACATTCAAAGTCTAATTCCAAACAATGAAAGTCAGTGGATAAAAGATGACATAGTTAAATATATGCTTGCATTCATTTTTTCTTCTTTTTTCTTTTGTCATTTATGAGGCTTGTACTTGGGCTCTATCTAGGTGCTGTCTCTGAGCTTCTTTTGTTCAAGGCTTGCACTCTACCACTTGAACTATAGCTCCACTCCTGGTTTTCAGGTGGTTAATTAGAGATGAGTCTCAGGGATTTTCCTTCCTTGGGCTTTGAACTGCAATCATCAGATCTCAGCCTCCTGAATACCTAGGATTACAGGCATGAGCCACCAGCACCCGGAGTTTGCATTCTTAAATAGAATGATGGGTACTATAACTTGCAAAAATCAAATCAAATCTAAGTATAACTTTAATGGCATTGTTTTGACCATTAATCACTATAAGTTACCTTGTCCAAGTACATGTGCAGGGACCAAAATATTTAAACACAGTGGACAAGCCAACCACCAGTGGCTCACACCTGTAATTCTAAATACTCCAGAAGTTGCGAAATCAGAGGATCATAGTTCAAAAACAAGCTAGGTAGACAATTCCAGGAGATTCTCTCTTCAAATAACCAGCAAAAGTGCTGAATTGGCATGGTATTCAACATAGACTATGTGGAAAATGAACTGTGCAATTTGTGGGCAGGGATGGAAAGGTGAAAGAAAAGCAAAGTGAAGGAAGGGGTGACATTGTCCAAAAGAGATATGTACACATTACCTGAATTAAGAAGTGGTAACCCTTGTGTACAGCACCTTAATAGTAACAGTAAAATTGTATTTTTAAAACAAACAAACAATGCCATATT